AATGAGGGTCCCTTCTAGGGGTCCCTCGGTCGCCGTCGATAAAGCGCCTTTCCCTACGCGGCACGCCACCTCTCTCACAAGGCGTGGCTTTGAGTGCTGTTGGCGCACTCCGCTGGATCTGCTCTCGCTGCATGTATACTGTCCTCCTATAGAAAAGCGGGCCGGGCGAGGACGTCACCAACACGGTGTGCGCGACTTCGACTCCTTGAAGCTCACGAGGAATCGAAGCGAAGAGCTGCGTCAACAGCCGTGCCGGGGAGGTCGAAAAGCAAGAAGAAGCGGCCCGTCGGCTGACAGCTTATAGGACTGCAGTCCCGGCGCACTCGCCTGGCTTCTACGAGCAACTGCAATGGAAGGTATATCCCTTAAGAATAAGTGTCAAGGGCCTAGGGAGCCAGGGTTTGTGTACTTTGGGGTTCAGGAGTATTTCGGAGGGGGTTTGCGGTTCGTTAAGGCATTTGTGGCATTGGGGGGTCCCCTTTTTGGGGGTCCCTTTAAGGGGATTCTGTTCTATTTGGGGTATAAACAGGGCTGCCCCTGTTTTGGGAAATGCCCACTTGGGGAAGTCAGTGGTTCGGGGCTCCATAGCGCCCAGAATGCACGGCCGGTCCGTCATCGTACTCAGCGTGGCGTAGTTTGTGTTTGGAAAACGGTGATGCCTGGGCCGCAGTCCCCCAATGAGGAGAGTTTCTCCAGGAGCACTACTCTGAACATTTTCTGAAGTGCAAACCCGAATCACAAAGCGATATTGAAACCCCAAACCCCAAACCCCAAACCCTAAACCCTAAACAGTTGAGATGCCATGTACTTTGGGAGCTTCGGGGTCCTGTCAAGGACGCTCACTACAACTACAGGGATTGGGGGTTTGGGGTTTGCAGGACGGGCACTTATGCCCTATAACCCCGGAACAAAGTTCCTTTACAGGGTTGACTATAGGGATAAACCCTCAACTAAGCAACGTCAGGTCTGGGTGCACTCATCATAGCTTGCCGAGAACTTGCCTTTGGGGGGGGGGGGGGGAAAGAGAGTCTGGGTTGCTAGGCGAGAGAATAGGGCTTCTTGGTGCATAAACAGCATGGGGACTTCCGTGCCCTTCTGGGGGGACACAAGAGATCAATTTCTTTCGGGGGTGCTTATAGGATCCCCATTCTTGGGAAATACCCACACATGGATATCCACTTCATAAACGCAGCTGAGCTCCAGGCATATTGTGATCTTTCGGAAAAGCTGGATACCTCGCAGCCACGCGGATTCTGCCACTTCACCCCCGGCCCTCGCTCCCAACAACCTGCACATCTCAAACTCCTTGACCCCCCTCGTGAGCGTCGCAAAGCATATGGGCCCAATGGGCTCGGGGGGGAGGCATTTTTTCACAGCTCAAGGTGATAATAATGATAATCATAATAAGAATGATAAAAATGATAATAATAATAATAGTACACACACACACAAAACTCCGTTTTATGAGACATTTAAAAGCCGAAGGCTGTCGAGTCTTAGGTAGGGTCTTCAAACGCCCCCCCCCCCCCCCCGGCGCCCCTCCCTCCGAAAGTCCACCCTCCTAGAGGCCCGCACGGCAGTGGCAGATGGATCCGGGTGTCAAAAGGCAGGTGGTTACCTGAGGCGGCACGGAACCCTAAAATGAAGGGACAGTGGGGCCAAGCAGGGCCTTACATTTGATTACCAAAGACCGCACCGTCGAAGGAATGTCACGGACGGTCCCCACTGCAAAGAATGTGAATAAATGCTGAGCTACTTGTACGTTTATACACATACGGATATGAAGAATGAAAACACCACGTATAGAGCAGTCTATGGTGCATTTTGGCAAAGCTGTGAGCTTTCCTCTGCGCTATACACGGGCTTCAAGCTATGAAGTCCAAAACCACCCTAAACCCTAAACCCTGAGTCCTGAACCCTAAACCCTAAACCCTAAACCCTAAGCCCTAAGCCCTAAGCCCTAAACCCTAACCAACCCCGGGCCAGCTGCAGATGTTCAGCACCGCCCAAGCTAAAGTGCCCAGCCTGGGCGGGTCCGGCTTTCTGAAAGGCTTGGACATGGGTGGTTGTCAAAATTAATCCCTTTTGGGGCACCCTAAATATTAGGTGCCGTATTATCATAGGAATCCACAAAGGGACCACATTTTTGACAACCACCCACATGGACCCCAGGAAGTGCCCATGATCCCAAAACATCGAATGAAGGGTACGTAGGCCGGTTCTTATGCGTTAATTGACGGGTACCCTAGAACCCCTTAAGGGTTGATTACGGGGATTATAGGGCCTAGTAGCCCATCCTGGTACCTGAACATCAAGCTCTGGATAAATCTTGAAGTGAGGGTTTGCTTGATTACCTGCCGGTGTTGAGTTGAGGCTGGGCGGGAGTCGAGCGGGGAGTATCATACTCAGCACAGCATATCCGAAGCCAGCCGAGCTCTTGTTCAGATTTCGACCGTCCGACTGCTATACGAACTGCACTTTAAGGGACTGAACCCGTTTTGGTACCCTGAATTCCCTAGACCCGGGAGTAACCTAGGAATCAAAAGGGTGCCCTTTTTGGTTTTTAAGGGGATTATAAGGGAACCCCAACCCTGAGAAAAGGAAATGAGGGCCTACTCCCGGTCCTAGTTCCCTACCCCTAAGGGTCCATGTACCTATATAGTATATACTTGGGCACTAAAGCCTTAAGCTGCTATATGGGAACCCCTTTAAGGCCCAAGTACCGACTATATAGTTACATGGACCCTTAGGTTACTTGCTGAGAAGCACCGGGTGGGGGCGGTGGGCTCCCAAGGCCTGGTAAGCGTGCCATTTCATGACAATGCTGACCCCTCAATGCCAAGACCACACCAATGGTACAAGGGCAGCAATCGTCATATCCCTAAGCCCTAAACCCTAAACCCTAAACCGAACATGAGCGTTTCTTTCAAGGCAATGAACCCCAGAAACGGCCAGCAATCTAACCACCCAGAAACCAGCAAGAAAAAAATTGGAGTCCCTCATTTCTCCAAACCCTTTCCCCATCAAAACTTGCAACGATGATTCCGACCTCTGAATCTCTTCCAACAGATGCCTTACATGCCTTAAACCCTATAGCACACATCGAGCTCCCACCCCAAAACCTTCTCCCTTTGAAGACAGCCCTAAACCCCAAACGCTAAACCCTAAACCCTGAACCCTGAACCCTGAACCCTAAACCCTAAACCCCTAAACCCTGAACCCTGAACCCTAAACCCTAAACCCTAAAGAAAGCTCGGCCGGTGACCAAGCCGTGGCAGCATGGAGCCCTAGTGTTCTGGACATGGTCCAGAGGCCTCGCCACTTTGGCAGATTAGGGTTTAGGGTTTTTAGGGTTTAGGGTTTAGGGTTTAGGGTAGTTCCATGGTCCCTTCATTAATTGTGGAAGTCTTATATACACCTCGTATAGTACCCTGTAAAACCCATTGCCCGTACTTCAACACCCTTTGCAGAAGGTAAGGGGCCATATTAAGTGACCAGTTAACTTCCCATAAATAGAATGTGCTCATCACATCCTATCCTTTCCCAAGGCTCGCTTTAGACCGTTCCGTGACCCGTCATACTTTTGGGGCGGATGTTATCATCCTACTTTGGCTTTCTGTTTGCAAGTCCAATTTCGGTCTGCATCGTTACCAAGGCCCTACATGGCGCGTGCTGCCGCGGGGAACGCGAGGTGTTGCCGAACATACTGCACCCGAAAACCAAAAACTCAAGACACAGTTTCAGGCAAGCGCGGGATGTTACTTAGGGTGTTGAGGCTTTGAAGGTCTGAAGGCCTAAACCCTAAACCCTAAACCCTAACTGTTCGATATAAGTTTTGGGCCTCAGAGAGTCCAAGAAAGGCTCTTTGCAGACCCTCGTTCAGGCTTGGGGGGGCTCAGGACGCACTCACGCACGGGCGAGCGGCCTAGCGACCTATCTACACGAAGGGGAAATGACTTTCTTGCAAGGCAAACCCAAAGCCGAAGCCCTCAATTGTGTGTGACTTGCCTTGCTTCTAAACCCTAAACCCTAAACCCTAAACCCTAAACCCTAAAGCCTAAAGCCTAAAGCCTAAAGCCTAAACCCTAAACCCCCACACACAAGAACCGTCGTCTCCTCAACACCTAGAACAGCCAGAGCGCTCAACTATTTCCCCAGTAAACCGCTGGCAAGAATGCCTTACGGCCAGGGCCCCCGGCTGAAAATCCAGATCGAAAATCCGTACTGGGCACAGGGTCAGGTGAAGGCCATGGAGGGGGCAAAGAAGGGTCGGTTTGCCTTCTTGTGGGGGTTGGCGCCTTAAGGCTTCTGAGGGAGGGGGGGGGGGGAAGATCTGTTGACTGCATTAAGTCTACTTAATATCCTCTTCGAATCCCCACAGTCCATCTTGCTAACTGCTAACCCTACTTACTTAGTTAACAGGGCTTCCAAGCGGAGTAAGCTTTCTCAAGTTCCTTCCTCTGGCTGCCTTAAACCATGGTTGGGAAGCTCGCGAACATAGACCCTAAACCCTAAACCCTAACCCTAAACCCTGAACCCTAAACCCTAAACCCTAAACCCCAAACCCTAGCCCTACCAGCTCAGACTGCGGAGCTTCGCGGGCCTGAGTCGTGTCATTCGAAGACTCAGCACTTCTCCTTAAAAACAGAAACGGATTCCCTGCTGTGGCTATAAACCCTAAACCCTAAACCCTAAACCCTAAACCCTGAACCCTAAACCCTAAACCCTAAACCCTAAACCCTAAACCCTAGCTAAGGAACGTTTCTTTACGAAGAGGAGAATCGGATGTGTCGGAGCAGCCTCTGGGGGTGAGAAGTATGCCATTATTCTTGTGAGGACTTCGATTGCCTTGGGGGACCAAACGAGCCCGAACATTGGCGGTCATACACCCTACACTACTATAATTCCTATTAAGGTATATGAAGCCCTAAACCCTAAACCCAAAAAACCCAGAACCCGTTTGGGGCTCTTTTGTTCCCCAAGGTCCCGGGAGTCCCGGCCATCTGCTCCAGCGGATGCTGGTTTGCAGCGTCGGCGTAGCCGCGGAAAGGAACAAACCTAGGGGCAACCCTAAACCCTAAACCCGAAACCCGAAACCCTAAACCCGAAACCCTAAACCCTGAAAAAAACGGGGCGACTCAAGTACCAGGTTGACACGCGAGGGTTTGAAAGGTGGCTAAGAGTTCAGGGCTCTGGCCTCAAGTCTCCGGTCTAGAGTTTGGCTGTGGGTGTTGGCAATGTCTTGGGATGTTCCCCCTTATACTAACAGTCCTTCATAGCGATTATCATAGGGGGTGCTAAAATAGTAGTCGACCCTAAACCCTAAACCCTAAACCCTAAACCCTAAACCCTAAAACCCTAAACCCTAAACCTATAATGGGGGTACTAACATATCAACGACTCTTAGTATAAGGGGAAGCATCCCAAGGTGTTGGCAACACCAACTATCTAGTTGCGATTCCTGTCCGCCCTGCCAGGACTAACGCGGGGTGTACCTTAAACCCTAAACCCTAAACCCTAAACCCTAAACCCGAAACCCTAAACCCGAAACCCTAAGATGTAGTTTTAATGGCTTGAAGACCGCTTTCCTGCACTTGGCACTTCGCTCAGCCACGAACATCGATGGAGGCAAAGAGGAGCATGGACTCACTAAATCTTGAACCCTGAACCCTGGAAACCCATGAACAGACTCATGGTTCAGGGTTTCTGGGGTTCGAGATCGGGCTCAGGGTTGCTAGATAGGCCCAGGGCCGGGAGGAAATACATCTTGGGCGAGAAGATGAAAACCTGCACATATCAAGCTTCCTTGAACGCCCTAAACCCTAAGCCGTAAGCGCTCAACCTAGGCCCAAGAGGAACTAGGAATAAAAGGGGTGCCCTTTTTGGCTTCAAGGGGGGTTTGTAAGGGACCCCAAGCCGAAAAAAAGGAAGAAGGGCCTACTCTGGGTCCTAGTAACTCTGAAAAAAAACATAAACCCTAAGCCCTCAACCCTAAACCCTAAACCCTAAACCCTAAACCCCGATGTCCAGCTGGAGCCATGGGGCTGTCGATGATGCTGCTTGTGGCAGTAAGGATACAGAACTCGCCTGCCAAAACGCGCCGCACAGAAGATTGGCAGGCTGACAATCAACCCTATAAAGGGCCTTTTTAAGGGGTGTGAGGGGAAGTAGCCCGTCCTGGTATGGTCAAGGATACACGAACTCAAGCCCCAAACTACCCGAAAGCACAGCCCCAAGCCCCATATTGACAGCTTAAAGGGCTCTGCCATAGAGGGAACCGTTTGTGCTGAAATTTCGGTATGCGTTGGTAAGGAGAACGAACCAGCAAGCAACTGCCAACCAATCGTACACCCCCCTCCACCCTACTCCCAGAAACCTAAACTCTAGACCCCTAAACTCTTTAAACCCTACTAACAACTGAAAACAGAACCCCTAAACCCCCAGATCTTTACAAAACCTGAAGACCCCGAAGCCTAAACCCGCAACCCGCAGGTCCCGGATCCATAAGCTCGCCTGTGAGCGATGAGGTGGAAGGGGTAGTAGATCAGGTCGTTGAGGACAAACGCCTAGGGCAAGCGGTTTAGGGTGTAGGGTTTAGGGTTTGGGGTTTAGGGTTTAGGGTTTGCGTACTTCGTTCGTGCCTCTTTCTGCCTGTATTTTCGAGGCTCTACCGAACTAGAATGGGTATCGCGGGTAGTCTCGATGTCGTGGTCGCCAAGTAGCCATATTGCAAGAAGGGCACCCGTTTTTTTTTCGGTTGGTTCCTGTATAAGGCAACCCAGAACCCAAAACAATGGAAAAGGGTGCCACTGGGCTGCCAAGATGTATATATATATATATATAATTTAGGGTAAAAGTTTGAGGTTTATCTGACAAGCCCTATTCATATTAAGGACTGTTAGTACAAGAGGCAACATCCCAATTTTGGGATATTTCGGGGAAAAAAACAGGGGGATAAGCAGAACCCTAAACCCTAAACCCTACGTAAGCCCAAAACCCTAAACCCTAAACCCTAAACCAGATGATGCTGGGCCCCCGGGCTGCGATGAAGGCCACGGGTCCGTTGAAGACGTTGAAGTTGCTGCAGTTTAGACTTACTGGTTCTTAGAAGATGAAAGGGGAGTTCGGCACCCCAAGCCCTAAACCCTAAACCCTAAACCCTAAACCCTAAACCCTAAACCCTAAACCCTAAACCCGAATTTCTTCCATGGAGGGTAAGAAGAAGGGGAATGGAGACTTCAGAAGCTCGGGGCCCGAAGTTTTGCCAGGAGGAGGAAAAGCCTTCACTTCTCAGATGTTGGAGTTTAGGGCTTAGGGTCTAAGGACTCAGATGTTACACCCTGAACCCTAAACCCTAAACCCTAAACCCTAAACCCTAAACCCTAAACCCTAAACCCTAAACCCTAAACCCTAAACCCTAAACCCTAGACCCGAAACTTTCTTGGTTTCGATCTGCTCAGCTCGGCCTAGGGTTTAGGGTGTAGGGTTTCCAGGAACTTTTAGGATTGTTAGGGCTTGAGGTTCAACATGTACCCCGCGACAGTGTGAACCTAGACAACGTGCGACAACACCCTCAAGAAACTTCTCCTTCACCAGCCATGCCGTGGAAGGACCTGATACCTGAAACGAGCAGTAGATGCGACTGTTATCTGCTGAGAGAGCGCTGCACTCTACACCCCCCCTGCACAGTAACCCAACAACCTACGCCCCAAAATCTAAAAGCACAAAATCTAAAAACTCTGAATCCCTTTCAATATAAAGGGTCCCACAATGCCACGAATAGCAGCGTAGCACCCTAAACCCTGCACCATAAAAACCTTAAAACTCTAGAACCCCTATCTCCTAAAACCCTAAACCCTCAAAGACCTCAAAACCCTAAGGCCCTCAAACCCCAGAAGCCCAAAGCCTTGAAAAAACCCACACCCCAAAGCCCAAACCCTAAACCCTAAAGCGCCTACCCCCATAGGTGACAGCGCTGCCCAGGAGGAATGCTCCGACGTGGTTCATTCCCAGGAACTCCACCTGAGATGGGTGTTTAAGGTTTGTGGTTTAGGGTTGGGGTTTAGGGTTTAAGGCGTTTATTTATCTATGTATTTATTTTATTTTTTTATTTTATTTTTTTTTTTTGGGGGGGGGGTTTTAGGGATTTTTGTTAAAGGTGTTTAAGGTTCTGTTGGGGTGTTTTTGGGGTAACTTAAAGTGCTATCTCTCTGGTGGTCTCCTAGGTATGAGGGTCGATGCTTTGGGGGTTTGGGCATGGAGGGCTTCTAGGTTTCAGGGTCTCCCCAAGTCCCCACCCTAAACCCTAAACCCTAACCCCATAAACCCTAAACCCTAAACCCATAAACCCATAAACCCTAAACCCAGTGTAAGGGAATCAAGGACTTCGGTAGGACCGTGGTCTCTAGGCGCCCTGCCACGGTGTTCAAGGCGAGGTAGCACAAGTCGTGGAACTCTAGAACCTGTGGGCAGGGTTTGGGGTTTGGGGTTTGGGGTTTAGGGTTTAGGGTTTAGGGTTTCGGGTTTAGGGTTTCGGGTTTAGGGTTTAGGGTTTAGGGTTCAGGGGGGGTGGGGCGGGTGGGGGGTCGGGTTTAGGGTTTAGGGTCTAGTATTTAGGGTTTAGGCAGTCTAGGGTTTAGGGTTTATCGAGCACGCGGAGGATGGGATGAGTGCTTTAGGGTTGTCCAGTTTAGCACGTGAGGCTGAGGGCTTTTGGGGGGAGGTAAGGCTTGGTGACTTTCGTCGTTGGGCTTTGAGACTACACTCAAGACACCACCTAAACGCAAGTTCTCTAGTGCTCTAGGAAGAAACTACAAGACTTCTCCTCGCGAAAGCCTAAAACCCTACATATTCGACCCCAGACCCTGAACCCTCAAGATGTAGCAAAAATCTAACTGTTTTCCTAAACCCTAGAGGCCCCAAGCATGTGAGTCCGAAACCCAAAAACCCTAAAGCGCAAGAGGCGCCTCGAGCTTGGGCACGTACTGATCCCCCTCGTCCATGCGAGTGTAGCCTCCAGACCATGTGGGGACATGTCGCCTCTGTCTCTCGCTCGCTCGTTCTCTCCTTCGCTCGTTCTCTCCCTCTCTCTCTGTGGGCGTGGGCGGGTGTGTTTTCTCTTCTCTGTGTTTTTCTCTTTCTCCCTCTCTTTCTCTCTCTTTCTCTCTCCGTCTCTCTCTTTCTCTCTCTTTCTCTCTCTGTCTCTCTCTTTCTCTCTCTTTTTCTCTCTTTCTCTCTCTTTCTCTCTCTTTCTCTCTCTTTCTCTCTCTCTCTCTCTTTTTTGTTTTTTTGGTCTCTCTCTCTCTCTCTCTAGCTCGCTCTCTCTCTCTCTCTCGCTCCCCCCCTCTCTCTCTTTGTCTCCCTCTCTCTCTCTCTCTCTCGCTCCCTCCCCCCCCCGTGGCAGAGAGCCACAGAAAAACAGGCCTCAAAGTGAGCCCTGGAACCTCGCAAACGCTGCAAAACCAGCCTGGGCGCTTAGGCTTCCAACTTTCGAGTTTCAAGGCCTCCGAAAAAGATTCCTAAATCTGATCCTCTTAAACCCAAGAAGGGAAATATAACCTTTCAAGAAACATCAAAGGCCCCAAGCCCTATACCCTAAACTGGCTGGTTCTTAGTAGGGAATGAGGGAATGAGGGCCCTCTTTATCCCCATTTAAGGGATTAGATAGGGCCCTCATTCCCGCATTCCCTACTAAGAACCGGGGTCTAAAACCCCCTACCCAGTTCTAGGGTTTCAAACATTTCTGAGGCCATCCGCCCGGCCTATCAACGAGTCACCAGCGGCCTTCAGGACCACGTTCAGCAGCTCCTTGAATTAGTTTCGAAGGGGGACTCATCGGGATTTTTAGGGAAGTTTGGCGGGTTTAGGGTTTAGGGTTTAGCGTTTAGGGTTTAGGGTTTATAAGGGTTTGGGGTTTGGGGGGGCGGGGGGGGGGGGGGGGGGGGGGGGCGGGGTTCCAGGGTGTTCGCAGCTCTTAGGGATTCATGGGCATTTGGGGGGTGGGGGGGGGGGGGGCTTACTGGCCTGAGAATTGCAGCGCGTAGGGCATAGCTTATAAGAATATGCATAGTGTAAAAGACAAAAAGGTAGAACATACTATGGAACGCGTCGGAAGTTCTAGAAACACGAAGTTCAAAATCAAAAATCGTCATTTCACCATATAGTAAACATAAGAATGTAAGGCTAGCTTAGGGTTCACATAAGAGCCTGAAGACGTAGAATGTTCTTCCAGTATGATTCTAAAGGGACCATAAGGGGACATTGTTGGTAACTATCCCGACCCCTAATTATATGGGATTAGGGGTACCTTGTTCGGGTCCTTATTATAAGAGGAGTCCTACTATTTGGGGGTGTAGAACAGGGGTCCCTTATTACTACGATTTGCGTAAGAACACCAAAAAAAGAAAATAAATCATCCCCTTGTTGCCTTGTAGGCAAGAAAATGTCTTCATATATATATATATATATATATCTTTTTTTTGGGGGGGGTTCCTAAGCAAACAGTAGATTATGGCAAACCCCTATATTAGTTTCGGGATAAACCCTAAACCCCTAAACCCTACACCCTAAACCCTAAACCCTAAACCCTAAACGGTTGAAAAGGCCTTGGCTGGTATCGTGGCGGCATAGAGGCCGATGTACCTCGGCTCTGTGATGCAAGCAGGGTGTTGGGGTTTAGGGTTTAGGGTTTCGGGTTTCGGGTTTAGGGTTTAGGGTTCAGGGTTGAGGGTTTAGGGTTTAGGGTTTAGGGTTTGGGTTTAGGGTCCAGGGTTTAGGGGTGTTTATGGCTTCTGGTTTAGGGTTGTGGTGGCAGTTGCCCTCATCAAAAGGTGGAGCATCCCTAAACCCTAAACCCTACACCCTAAACCCTCTAAACCCTATAAACCTATAAACCCTACACCCTACACTAACCCTAAACCCTAATCTTGGTGGTCTCTCTCTTGGCAGTCTCTCTTTGTCCGTTGCATCCACACACACACCCGAAACATATCTTGTAAGCCGACTTCCGAGCCCACTCCACTACATCTGCCGGCGGATGATGCCGCCCAAAATTCTCATCGAATCAGTCCTCTCAAAATGAGAAACCCTAAGCCCCAAACCCGAAACTCTAAACCCTAAACCCTATAGATCCTGAATAAACGAAGCCTAGGCTGCCCCCCAAAGACCCCAAGCCCCAAACCCTGCAATTCCCCCCGCCCCCCCGAACCCAGAGCCTAAGGGTTTAGGCTGAGGGTCCGCGTTTCGGTTTTCCTTGCGTGAGAACACATGGTCTGGCCGTGCAGGTGCACGCCAAGGGCCCCATTGTAATTTAGGGGCCTTCATAATTAGAAGAGGGTTTTGGGGGTTGTTTCAGTATAGTTATAAAGGAACCATATGTTGATACTACTAGTATTTATTTCGACCCCTCTAGTACATCGCTAAGATGTCGTCCGCGCAGTCAAGTACTATGAAAGTAGAACCTGCAAGCCTAGGAGGGTTTGGCTAACTTTTCAACACACCTCTTAAACCTAGGAGGTACTATAGTAACCCTAAACCCTAAACCCTAAACCCTAAACTAGGAGCTAGCGGCTGTAAAGCAAACGAAGAACATGTCTGTTCATTGTCGCAATCTGGGCCCCCCTGGCATGGTGAGGTCGTTCAGCATACCTGCGGCTTTCTGGAGACTCCCGGGTGCTGTTTCGCAAGCCGCAATGAAGGGTTTACGAGAATAAGGGACACCTAATGTACCTAAGTTGGGTTATAAGGATCCTAACTTAGGCTATAAGTCCCTTAACTACGCATAGTTAGTACTTAGTAAGGGGGCCCCACACCTGCCAAGCACAATTACTCCTTTGATGTCTCCTTATGTGTTATTATCAGGGGGAGGGAGATCATGATGGTGGGAGATCATGATAGTGTTTCGTGTCATGTGGATTTAGGGATTCGTTAGGCTCTTTAGGGTTTAGGATTTAGAATCTTGGGGGTCTGGGGTTCAAGGCTTCGGGTTCAGGTGAGCGAAGAAAAGCTTAGGAGAGCCCTGCCGCAATTTGGTTTCAGGGCAAAGCCAGGAGATTGATAGTTTGGGTTTACTAGGCAGGAAGGGGGTCGGATGCCACCGAATCTTAAACCAAAGCTTAACGCCTTAGCTGCTCAAGCATGGGCCAAGAAATTCAGGTCCAGGATGAGTGAACAATTGCAAAGAGTGAAGGCTTTCGGGCTCTTGGGTTGGGTGTTCTGGTCATGTGGTCCAGGGGGGATACGGCTCAAGCGGTAGCCTATAATCCGTTGTAAAGCCCGAAAAGTATTGAACACTTAAATCTCTATTCCTTATTGAGTTTAAGTACCCAGAAGAATGCACAATGTTACCCCACTATGACATAGTTTAAGGTATAACCACACCCCCAACACCTGGCCTGTAGGGTTGAGCGTCCACGGAAAGGAGGCGCCCGCCGTTGCCGGAGGACTGGCCAGAGCAAAGAACCATCTTCGTCTGACGTCCTAGAGCCCCCAACGCCTAGCGTCCTAAAATGGGGTTTAGGGTTTAGGGTTTAGGGTTTAGGGTTTAGGGTTTAGGGTTTAGGGCTAGGGTTTAGGGCGACCTTAAAGCCCTTTGGGTTTGAAGGGGCTTAGAAGGGAACCCAAACCCCATAAAAGGGGATAAGGGCCTACTCTGGGTCCTGGTTGCTTCCAGCATCATCAAGGGCGGAAAAGTGCCCCCGAAGACAAATCGCTGAGGACCACCCTGCAAGGGAGAACCTTCGGCAGCTCTTGGCTTCTTAGGGTTTAGGGTTTAGGGTTAAGGGTTGAGGGTTTAGGGTTTAGGGTTTAGGGTTTAGTTTAGAAGGGGGGGTATGTAACCCAAGGTTCCCTAATACTCCGCGCTACTCCCAGAGTCTCTCTAAGCTTCCCTAAGGTTCCCTAGGTACCTACCCCCCCATGAACCCCCTGCCTTAAGAACCCAATAAACCTTCGGCAGCAGCGGCCCCACTAAAAGGCATTGTTTGCAGAGAAAAGCCCCGATGCCAGCCGACAATTTTCGACACCTCCGCCCACCAAAAACCAAACCCTGCACCCCAAACCCCCAATACCTGACCGAGCCCCCCCTCTCTCCTGGTCAAAAGAAGCCAGCACTACACCAAAATGAAACAACAGTCTAGCACCCTAAGCCCTTTATCCTAAAGAATTGCAAACCTAAAACCTTCAAAGAAAACCCAAACCATAATCAACCCTAAACTCTAAACCCTGGACCCTAAAGCCCAACCCAACAAACCCACATGATGAAAAAAAAACCAGCACCGCTTGGCACAGCGGACCTGCGCTGCGGACTTGCGCGTGCGTCCCCACAAACCCCGAAAGGCCTGCAGCCCGAAATCCTAGAAAAAACAAAGCAGCCCTAAACCCCATTTAAACAACAAAATCTCAGAAGCCCTAAGCCACATCAAAAAAAACGAAGAAGCCCTAAAAGGCCTATGAAGAGCCTAAGAAGCCCTGTATCTACAAACAACAGAAAAGCCGGCCTGATGGCCGAGTAGGCCGCCACGCCGGCGACTATGACGACGGCGAGGCATGGCCTGGGCATGACTTGGGGTTGTGGGGTTTAGTATTAAAGGGGAGTTGTGGGGTTTTGGGGTTTAGTATTGCAGGGGAGTTTTGGGTTTTTTTGAGGGTTAGGGGTATACGGTTTAGGTTGTAGGGTTTAAGGGCGTAGGGCTGAGGGTACTGTAGATTGGGGGGGGGGGGGGGGGGGTAGGTTTTAGGCCTTTCTGAATTCGTCTAAGTATTTGTTATTTTCTTTTCAATTTACTGTTGACATATATATATATATATGCACATGTATACACATATATATATATAAACATAAATAAATATATATCTAAGAATATATATATATATATACATATCCATATGTATATATATATAATATACAATCTATATCAGATAGAAAGGAAGATAGATAGGTGGAGAGGGTGCAGCTCAGGCTCCTCGATGCTACTGCTTCTTCATACGTTCTTATCCGCAATACTGCTGAAAACATTCTGATTCTCACTGGATTATGATGAAGAAGAGAATATGATGAATTATGGGGGGGGGGGGGGGGTGAAGAGAATATGATGAATTATGGGGGGTGAAGAGAAATTATTATGAATTATGGGGGGGGGGGGTGAAGAGAATATGATGAATTATGGGGGGGGGGGGTGAAGAGAAATTATAGTAGCGATGATGACGACGATAACCGCGCTGAGAGCGATGATGAGTCCGACGATTGTCATCACGATGACCATCGTGATCATCACCGACAGCACCGCCGTCACCATTCATCGTCATCAGCATCACTAGCATTGTCATCATCGCGACGTTGTTCATCAACTGTGAAAGCCACCCTCCCCCCCCCCCCCCCAAATATCATCACCGCCATCATAACCATCTTCGTCATCACCGCCACCATGAATATGCCATGAACAATGTGATTTACCGTGGCGAACATGATGATAATGATTATCGCTGATGCTTCGTCTTCTCATGAGATCATCTTGTGGCCTGTGTTTGGGGGGACAGTGGTGGGCCAGTGAAAGTTGGGGTCTATTTAGCTTTGGGTTTAGGGGTTGCACATGAGGTGCTGCTCCTTGGGTGTCGAGGATTTAGGGTTCAGGGGTTTGTTTAGGGCATAATATACTATATGATATACTATATACTATACTATATGATATACTGTATAATATACTATATAATATACTATATAATATACGTTTGAACTCCAAGCCCAAGCAGTTGAGAGTGCGGTAAGTTCAATGTGTAGGACAGGCTAGGAGCCCCTTTGCACGAGCCGAAGAAGTGGAATCTAAAGCCTTGTAAACCCTCAAAATTGCTGAAATTCCTCACGTGGGGGGACGCCAGCAGACCTAAACCCTAAACTTAAACCTAAACGCTATAAACCCTAAACTATATAAACCCTGAACCCCAAAAGCCTAAGCATTGTAAATCTTAAACAGAATTTAGGGCTAGTCGGAAACCCTAACGCTTCTAGCCCTAAACCCAAAACATGTTCAACCTCAAAAAGAACTCAGGGCAACTAGGAACCCTGCACCTTATGAGCGCTAAGCAGATGTTAGAACTATTAGGGTTCCCTAAACCCTAAACATGATACACCCCACACAGAATTAGGGCGATTCGACAACCCTAAACCCTAAACCCGAAACCTGCGCCCTAAACCCTAAACCCTTGAATCCCTAAACCCTAAACCCTAAACCCAAAACCCTAAACCCTAAACCCTACAAACCCAAAACCCCTTGAATCTCGGACTCCGGGCCCTCTTGGGTCGATGTGGGTAGCCTTCGTGCCCTTGCCGGCCACTACTTCGAGGCATTCGGGTTTGTCGGGTTGATAAGGCTTATAGCTTTTTTTGGTTCTCTATTTACTTTATTTTAATTGTTTTTTATTTTGTTGATTTTTTTGGTGGGATAGGGTTTATGGGGTTTATAGGGTCTATGGGGTTTCTAGGGTTTATACGAGGGTTTAGAGTATTTCGAGGGTTTACAGGGTTTATAGGCTCCTCTTAACTCGATTCGGGGGGGTTCACAGCTCACAGTCATCCGTATTCCGAATTGCACACGCCCACTGCCAACTCCATGCCAGTTGCCCTTCTCCAAGGGTTTAGGGTTTAGGGTTTAGGGTTTAGGGTTTAAGGGGTCAGACTCTGCCAGCATGAGCAAAACAGAAACGAATTGTCTCTGTGGCTCTAGTTGAGCCATTGACCGTGAAGAGTTCCCTTGGGCTCCCAGTCGTGTACAACGACCGGGGAAGCTTGGCACACGCAGTTGAGAAGGTGTTTAGGTTTTTGCTTGCTTTTTGTTGGGTATACGGGGTTTATAGGGTTTATAGGGGTTACAGGCTTTTTGTGGGTAGGGGATCAAAAAAAATTTATTTGGGATCAAGAAATAATTTATTTCTAGGCGGATCAAAAAAAAACTTATTTGGGGTCAAAAAATAATTTACTGAAGGCTTCAAAGGCCTCTTGCACGCGGAGCGGAGGCTGTAAACGCTCAGAAATGCAGCATTTCTGGCTGCTAGCAAGCTCTAAATACCTCAAAAAAACAGCATTTATTCGGGAACTACTGAAAATAGCAGCATTTCTGAGTTTCTAGAGAGGCTGCAGATATTGTATATAGCAGCAGTTCTGCGCTTTCAGAGGCTGGAAATACTGTACACTGCAGCATTTCTGAATTTCCAGACACTGCACATACTGAAAATAGCAGCGTTTCTGCGATTTCAGAGGCTGGAAATACTGGAAATACTGTAAATAGCAGCATTTCTGAGTTTGCAGAGGCTGCAAATCAATGCTGGCATCTTGGCATTAGAAGTTTCAAAAAAATGCATCTACTCTGAAGCATGTATATTCTGGCATAGTATTGTGGAAAGTCTTGTATAATATTGTATGACGTTGAATATTCTTGCATATTATTGTACATTGTATATATTGTTGAGTATTTCTGTATTGTCTTGTATTTTCTTGTGTTTTTTGTGGAATATTCCATATTATTGCATGTTATTGAATGTTATTTTCAAAATTCTTGTATATTCTTGAATTTTCTTTGTATATTATTGCAGATTATTCTATATTATAGTATATTATTGTATATTCTTGTATATTCTTGTATATTCTTGTATAT